TGACAGCCCGAACCATAGTGACGACTTAAGATTTTTATTTTGATATATATTGTTTGTTAAAGAAAGATCCTGTTAAGTTTTCTCATTTAGAATTTTATTGTTTATTTTTTAAATAAAATATTTTTCTAGACAAAACGTGATTTCCGGCCAAACTAGAAACACGATGAATTTACGTTTCTAGCGCGGACATTTTCACGTATATTTTGGGTAGCATATCAAGGGTATTCATACGTATAACGTAGTACATACTCGTAAAAAACGTCTTTTATACCAAAGTGTATTCGTATAAATATATTACAACTATAAATCTAATATAGACGTATAGTAAACACGGTTAATTATAGGTGAATAAATTAGTAGTAATCGACGTTTACATGTGACAAATAGTATACGTATATTGGGCGGACATTTTCACGAATATATTGGGTAGTACATCAACCGTATTCATACGTAAGGTAATAACTAAAAAAAGACACGTAATTTATACCAAAGTGTGTTGCCTGGGTAGTTTTAAAAATAATGGTTTTAGGATTATACTTTAAATTATCTTCGTCTGTGCTGTTTTACAACTATAAAGTTTATTTTTAACAGACTTTTAAAAAAAGTAGGAAGTTCTCAATTCGTCGGAATATTTTTTTTGTGGAGTCAGATTTTAATGATTCTTTTTTTGTTAGAAAGAGGGTACTTCAAGGGTAGTCCCATATAAATTTGGACAAAATCTAATAATTGATCCATGAGAAAATCCTCTAACTCTTCATTTTTTATGTATGTTTAGCGATAATTCTTTACCACCTTGTCCGATTTCTATGATTCTTTTTTGTTAGTAAGTTGATACCTCAGGGATGGTCCAATGTAAATTTGGTCAAGATGTGGTGATGGCATCTGTACGATTTTGAAGTCGGTTTTTTAAAATTATAATTTATTTCTTCAATTCAATCACATGTAGTTTTTATTTTAAATAAAATATAAAATAAAATCAACCGAGTCGCTGGCTCACTCAGCTGTGTGCGAACCGGTCTCCGGTCTTGAATTCGAGGGAATAGAAAACCGGTTTTGCCTCTTTATCTGCAACGCGCAAAATTTGTATTTTTGTCTCATTCTTCCCTCAAAATTTCTACTCCCTGAGATTCAAGAATAGATACCCTGGAGGGGTGATCAAACTGGTAGAGCTCGGGACCCTTCTAGACGGTAGAATTTATGGGTAGAACATATGAGTAGAATGGATGAGAAATAGTAAAGGATTTAAATGGCTGCATAATAATGCCGTCATGCGAATTTCAGTAAAGGGAAGGCAAGCTGGAACCCAAGACTGATTGTGGGGAACCAGGCTAAAACCCAAGTCAGATTGAAGGATGCCTAAAAGAGCGAAAAAAAAATTTAAACCAGAATCACATTAGGGATCAATAAGTCGAGCGGGTGCTTTTTAAAACTGAAAAATCCTGAGGCATTATTTTTTGGTATGTTAGTAATTAGCTAATTTTGGTTTGTATTGAGAGAATTTGGAAATCTACCATTTTAAATATGGCAGTTTTTTCAAAATATCTGATAACGTTTATAGGATTCATAAAGTAGGTTTACAGCAGCCCTAAGGCTACTCCGCCGACTCAAAAGTTTCATGGTTTTCTTATATAGGATGTCCCATTAGTGCATAATTGCTCGATATTTCGATTTGTGTTATAGACACGCAAACAAGTTTCAAATAAAAGTTAAATGGATTTAAAAAAGACATTTTAAAAATATTTTTGAATATACAAAGTGTTACGTTTTTGCGTGGCCAATAAAAATGTATATTTTTTAAATAGAACACCCTGTGTTTTATTTCAATTTTGCCAAGCAATTAATTTTTTATGAAATTAGAGAATGATTCAGACCACAAATTAAATTATTATAATTTAGGTAGGTTAGCAATGATTTCAAAATTGTTTAAAATACAGACTTATAAGATACCAAGCTAACGAATAGTGGTGATAGAACTGGTTCATTTTATACAAAGTGTTTTAAAATGTCTTAAATATGGCTAATTTTAAGTTCAAATTACTCGATTTTTTCAAATACAACACTCTGTATATTATTTTAGCATAAAATTCCTTATAAATTTACCTATCCAACGTTAGCAACAGGTTGGCCAATTACTAAGAAATTTTTAATATAAAAGTTATTAAAGGAAAAGACAAATGTGTTTTCCTTATTCATGTAAAATTTACAGTATTTTGTCACTGCTGTAATAGTAAAAAAATAATTATTTGCATCTGCTATAAATTTTACTAAAATAGAGTTACGCATTTTTCTTACTAAGGCGACGATGTATATATCTAAATAATAAACATAATTTTATTCATTTATTGCAGATTTCCACGGGATCCAGAAAAACGTAAGAAATAGACACATTTTGTAAATAGAAATTCTTGGGTATATACGAAATATAGTGTATTCTTCTGTTCCAAGCACTTTCTTAAATAACACTTTGATTTAAGTTCTAAATGTTATTTTCGTCTAAAAGAAGATCCTATACAATACTAATAAAAAGTCAAAATGTCTTTGGTCTTGATTTTGAATATCCTTTTAATTTCAATGTTGTATTTTTAAGTATTATAATAATAATAATAATAATAATAAGAATAATAATGTTTACTCTTAATCAAAAAGAGTTGGAAATTGGTAGATAAATACACAATAAGTAATTATGTAGATGATTACTTTTTTACCTGTGTTATATAAATAGTATTAATAGCATCTTCTTTTAAACGAACATAACATTTAGAACTTAAATCAAAGTGTTGTTTAAGAAAGTGTTTGGAACAGCATACACTATATTTCGCAGATACCCAAAAACTAGTATTTACAAAAGGTATCCATTTTTTACGTTTTTCTGAGCCCTGTGGAAATCTGCAATAAATGAATAAAATTGTGTTTATTGTTTAGATATATAAATGCTGTATGCTAGAGTCCGATTACAATTAGAAGAACACAGCTACGTCATCATTTGGCAAAGTAATTAATTGGTTATCGCCGCCAAATGGGGGTTTAGTGGAGTGTTAATATTATAGGAATATAGGAAATATTGTTTTACACCTAACAACACTTAATTTTTGTTTATTAAAAGTTATAGGTAACATGCATTCGAAATTCGAAGTAATGGTTATGACGTAGCTGTGTTCTTCTAATTGTAATCGGACCCTAATATAGAATGTAGTTTCTAATAATTATTACTGTCACTGATAAGAAACCATTTAATTTAATTATTCTAAAAACTATAAACATTTTATTTTATACCACTCTGCACAGTGTTTATACTTACCTAAGAAATGTTAATTTTAAAATTTTCTTGTTATCCACAACTTTGTTACTTGTGCAATTCCGCTTGGCACACGACACCATTGTTCTTTTAATGTTTCTGAGACGAATAGTTTATATAAACGTATACAATTAATTAAAATAATAATAATTTGAGGAATAAAGTACAAGAATTGAGTTGGCTGAAATGCTTGAAAGAAAAAAATCCAGACAAGACGAGAAGGTAAGAGTTGATTAAAATTGTGATGGAGTGCGAAATAAATATTATTGCAGGCAGGAGATTGATCACTTAGGAAATTTCCTACCAATGAAAAATTCTCGCAGGAGGTATGCTAATGCTGATTATGATTAAGTCAGTCCATGTATGACTTGGACTGGAAAATAAAAATGATGTGGGTGAGGACATTTTGGAAGTTGGGATTGCATGAGACATGACGATAATATATTGCACATTAAGTGTTGTAAATGTTACGTACGAATGGAAACGTTACGAAGCCGCTACGTAGTTACACGCTTTACGTACAATAATTTATCTACGACCACTTACACAGGTTAATATACGTGTAAATACTTGTACAATCATATTGTGTTCGTTTTGTTTACTATGTTTTTTGTTTAGCATGCTATTTGTTAACTGTCTTAGAAAAGTTCCGAACGTCTTATGATCTACAAAAACGGATGGATATTTTGATTTTATTTGGACCTATATTTATTGATGCATATTGATACGATGGTGAATTAAGCACTTTGACCCCTACCTCAACTATAATATATATGTCCGTTAGGTCTTGTACTTATTTAAATTTTGGACGTAAATAGAGCCCAAGAAAGAAGGGAAAGAAAAATCGGTTACAATTTGGAAATCTGAGAATAAATACTTCTACGAAATTAAGGAATCCATTCTTACAACCCCAATGTAAAAATAAACAAACAAAAAAGACCTAGACAGAAATCGAACCTAGTTCCTCGATTTTATACCTCAATGCCTTAGCAATTTGGCTACCGAGTAAACATATTTCCATCAAGCTCTTTCAATAATTATACTTTGTCACTATGAAGCATCGGTTTGAAAGACACCACGCACTGCGTGTACTAAAATGATGTCTTCAAATTGTCAATTCGGTTATTGTAACCATTTTTCAATTTTTGTTCGGACCTTGGGATTGTGAAAACAGATTACTTAGTTTCGTAGGGGGTATTCATTTTGAGGTTTTAAAATTCTTATACTTTCGGTTTTGGATCTTAACCGATTTTCTCGCCCTTCTTCCTTACAATTACGTCTACGCGGCGTTTACCTTGGGGTTATGAGGATGGATTCATTAACTTCGTAAGAGAAATTGGAATGTTTATTTTCATATTTCCAAATATGTGTCGAGTCTACCCGACAAAATTAGTTTACCGAGCTTATCGGCACTTGCTTCACTTTTGAGCCTGGTTGAGGAGAAAAATTCAGATGTTAATTTGGTTTAAAAAAAAACATTATCTGGATTCATTAAATTACTAAAAAGTTTCTGAAGTCATTATATTTATTCATGTACACTTTTATGAACAAACTATACCAGAATATTTTATATCTATCTAGGGACACTTTCTGTCTCCCGACACAAGTGTTGAATACGCATCTGGGAAACTTCTTTATTGTTGTAGTTTTAAGTTTAAGCCGGTTAAGTACTAGTATATAATAATAAAAATCATTCTTACCTTAGCGTAGTCAATCTTCAATGTACAACATCCTGAGTAAATATCTGCACCATTTAGGGACTCTTTGGCTCTCATAGCAGATTCTGTACTGTCAAACGTATTTATAGTTAAGGAAAATTTTATAAGATATAAAAAACTAAAACTATAAACAATATTTGAGTGATATTTTTAAAAATAAACATTTAAATTACAAAATCAAAATATATTGTTTTAAAAGGATATTCAACCATTGCTTGCACACCGTTTTTCTTAAAAATAACTATTCTTAAGACTTGTCCACTGGACTGGCATATTGTGTGTATAACATCCTGAAAAGAAAGAAAAAAGAGCATTAACACAATAATTAATTAAGAGGGTTGCAATTAGTTTTTCCAATTTAGTTTTTTATTAATTAAGGATGGTAAAGAGTATAACGGTTTATTTTTAATTGTCCTAAATAAGAATATTTATTTACTTCCAATATTCTTTCCTTTATCTACAGTTAAAATTATTTTTCAGGTATTAATAAAACCATGTATGTGCGAATTTAATTCTTTACGCGATTTTGCTGTTGGGTTCGTTGTTTGATATCAAAAATTTAATTTAAGGTACTTATATTGCTACTTTGGGTCAGGGTGCCTAATTAATAATTTTGTACTACCTAGTCCGATAGAAAATTTATAGCGACCTTGTAACTGGTACTAGGAAGTGCCAAAGGTTCCAGGATGTCATAAAGTTCACTTTAATTGATGTCTGCGGTCTGTCGATGTGTAGGATCGTTTGTGATTTTTAAATCTTTGATTTTTGGAATCATCCGTAATTGGGATTTTATTTTTAAATCCTAAAATTAAATTCGCATGTAGCAGTTTGTGCTTGGGTCGATATTTTTGTAATACCTCTAATTTTTACCTATATAAAGGGATTTGTAAATGTCCACGTCATCAATTCACTGTGGCTGGTAAAAATTATATTTTCCTAAAGGCTAGAACAGCCTCTGTGTGAAACTGATATTGGAACGTTCTAGCTGATCATTGTCCGCAAATATTTATCTGCAAAGAACCCCTTATATTACGGTAAGTTAAAAGTTATATATTTTATTCATTAATAATTCTCGATAGAAACAAGTGAAAAATACTTGCCATTATTATCTTTTTATGAGATAGTATTTATTTGTTTTGTAATAAATCCTTTCTATACAACTTCTTGGTTCATAGTTAGTATTAAATTAATCTAGTATAGGATAGCAGGGTACTTATAATCATATAAAATATGTCTATATTAATTTATTTGTCTATTCTAGTTTAGTGTTAAATAAAATAATTTTTAATATGTGGGCGAATAAAAGTTTTTTTTTTTAATATTCATGTCCAAAGCTGGTGCATTTTTAGTATTAAATGATTAGCATTTTTTTATCATTATTTTTAAAATAATTTCCGATTTCCTGTGTGACTTATTTTATCTTTTTTTTTGTATGATATTTATCTTCTTTTTTGTTAATTAAGATAAAGATATACTCAAGTTTAGTTTGAATTTACTTAGTTTTAGGGAAACATGTTAGTTAATTCGGATAGTTTTATATTTTACCCTGTTCACACTTTAGGATTGGGGGTAATAATAAAGTGGGTACATAATATTTTTTTTTGGATTTATTTATCGTGCTGGTTAGCAATATTTGATGTTAATTATACGATATTTTTCTTTAGGGTTTTTATTGCTAGTAGAAATTTTGGTAATTCGGGAGACTTCTTGCTACAGTTGAAGTGTTCTCTCCTACTGATACTTCCTTGTGAGTTGGATTTCCAGCGTGTTGTCATCTATACGAGCCAATGGTACGCCGCACTTGACAAAGGGCCGTTTATCAGAAAACTCAGCCACGCAAGTGTTTCATAAATGTTAAGTGTTTTGTCCTCCTTAAGTTATAATTATTTTTTTTGTGCTTTTTACATCAGGATATATTAAAAATCATCTTCTTTCATCTTGTATGATTGACGATGAATATGTCCTTTTCAGTAAGTTCATATTTTTGGGAAGTTTCTATTGTATTATTCATTTTCCTTTATTATTATTACATTCTTGATATCCGCTACAATATAATGGGTAATTTTTTTATACCGGTAAGTTTACAACTTTGATATGCGCACGCGCCTGAGCTCAAGCGATGCTGTCTCGTATCTTGCTATTTATTACAGCATGCATTAATATCGCCTTTAGATTATTTAGAGGTTAGTGATAATAGCTACTTTTCTTATTGCTTAAATTTATTCATTACATTTATAACTTACGTTATCGCTTACATATTGCAGTTTATTGCTTAAATTTGTTGCTTATATTGTATAGCTCACATATTGCTTACAATTATTACTTAAACTTGTTGCTTATATTGTATAGCTCGCATATTGCTTACATTTATTACTTGCAGATTATTGCTTACATTTGTTGCTTACATGTATTGCATACGTTATTGCCTATATTTATTACATTTACTGCTTGTATTTATTACTTGAATTTATTGCATAGGTTATAGCTTATATTTATTGATTACACTGCTTATATATATATAACGTTGCTTGCAGGTTAGATTAATCAGTTGTATATCACATTTCTTTCTAAGCTTGTAGTTACTTATTTTGTTACTATTTATATATTTGCTTAGTGTAACTGCTACTACCGCTACTAATTTACGTATTACGTAAAGTTATATTGTCTAGATAAATTAATAGTGCTGATATATAAACTAATATTTTAGTATATTATATAAATTAATTAAGTGTATTGTGTAAATAAATTATTGAATATAAGTGTACAAATAAATTAACTGTCTTAAAATAAATAAACGTTATAATACGTATTTACAAAAAATCAAATCATAGACGTGATACATACAGGGTGACAAGGTGAAAGCTTTTAATTGTTATATCTCATGAACTAAAGATAATATCAGAAAATGCTTGAACCCGTTTCTAGGATACGAATGGGGACCTCAAATGATAATGGTCAGAGTTAATCACACCATTCTAATTTATTTCAAGTGTTCCTCATGGGTCATCTAGGACCCTTATTATTTAACTTATTTATTAATGGTATTATTTATTGGTTCTTTTACTGGTACTTTTTCCAGCTAAAGCCACTTTAACAGTGTAGCATTCATATAAATACTTTACCTTAATCTGAGAAAAATTGATTTACATATACTGACCTTTTTTATCATTGTACATTAAACATTTAATTTAAGTAATGATAATTGATCCATTTCACTTCCTTGAAATGTTTGGCAAGAGCTGTTTCATATTTAATTTAAATAACCATTTAATTACATACTTTAAATATTCGATAGCAGGTATTTGGTATTCATATATTTACAATGGTTAGATATATCACTCTGAAATAGAATCACATACAGTGAGCATCATAAGTCTTACCCCCCCCTAACTAACTCGTTACTGGGGTCTTGTTAGGAAAATCGCCGAGACAGGTCGATTTTTGATTTCTACAATGTAAATTTTTGTATGATTAGTTTACCCTTAATTTCATCCCTTACTGGAGGGTAGCAACCCTTTCTAAAAGTTTAAATGGCATGGGGTGGTGAGTGATAGCTCATTTGAAAGGGGGTTTTATTCTCTATTCAACCGTGCAAAAAATTTTGAAATTTGCTTTATTACGTGTTGATTTATTAATGTTTAAAAATAACAAAACCTCTCAAAATAGGAAAGCAACTAGACTAACAGTGACCTTCTAATGGCAAAAAGTCTTACTTTACGTCTGAACCAAAACCGACATCATGCAGGGCCGAATTTTAATTCTAGGGATGAGTGGGCTACGTTAATTTCCGTTATTCTGAAACAACAATTAGTCGAGAATTAATGAAGCAAATTTCAAATTTTTTTACACGGTTGAATAGAGAATAAAACCCTCTTTCAAATGAGCTATCACTCACCACCCCATGCCATTTAAATTTTTCGAAAGGGTTACTCCCCTCCAGTAAGGGATGAAATTAAGGGTAAACTATTCATACAAAAATGTACATTGTAGAAATCAAAAATCGACGTGTCTCGGCGATTTTCCTAACAAGACTCCAGTAACGAGTTAGATAGGGGGAGTAAGACTTATGGTGCTCACTGTATAATAAACTTTGTTTAATCATTTTAACATACGTTACCATCAGTATATGTCTCTTTAAATAAATGAATCGTTTCTCGTAGATTTCTTTTAAAATATAGAAAAAGTTTTTCGTTTCATTTTTGTTTATAATTAAATTTATTTACTTTTAAGGTTATGTCACTTGTCACTTGCTTCTTTCTGTCAATCTGAAAATGGAAAATGCCAGAATTAAGTCTTCTTCTTGCTTCTTCTTCTTCTTCTTATTGTATGGCCTTTTACTGAACAGTTATTAACTTAATATATGTACTTGTCCGTTTGTATAACTTGTTGATTTTCAACCAATCAAAAGCAGTTATTCCAATTTCGCATTTCGAATCCTTCTTAAATTTAAAGTAACGTACCTTTTTTTATAAAACTTCTGGAACTTTGTAGAATGATTTTCTGCGTATTTCTTTTCTGTTCCAAAAGCCGAGAAGGCCACATCGTTAGTAAATTAAGGCCACTGTGGTTTTGTACTCCCTAATTAAATAGGTGAGTTTTAATATTTAAATTCTTAGGTTCTTTAACGAACCCCGTTTTCTTCCGTCTGGATATTGTATATAAACTTAAGCTTTGTTCTAGCGTCCAATGAGCTGAATAGATTTTGGGCAGAGTCGGAACATCTAGGGGGGTACTTTATAGGTGGTCATTTTTATATTTTATGGAATATATCTGTTATTTACGTTTGGGGAAGAAAATTCTTCAAATAAAAGTTACTTCTAATATTATTATCTATAATTTTTGTTCTATACCAAATTTTCCTAAAATGGTCCGTATTCAAGCAATTTGACAAAATGTAAAAAAAAAATTTTATAAAAATTGTTCAAATAAAAGTTGTTTGTAATATAATTTTCTATAATTTTTATCCCATACATAATTTCTCTAAAATGGACCGTATTCGAGGTATTTGAGAAAATGTGTAAATTTCGAATTTTGAAGAAAACTCAAAAACGGATAAAGGAAAAAAAAAATTTTAAACTTAAGTTTTATTTCGGCCTGAAGTGAAATGATTAGATTTTGGACAAAGGCGGAACATTTGGGGGGGTACTTTATGGGAGGCTGTTTTTATATTTTATGGAATATATCTGTTATTTATGTTTGGAGAAGAAAATTGTTCAGATAAAAATTACTTACAATAATATTATCTATAATTTTGGTTCTATACAATTTTTTTTTAAAATGGTCGGTATTC